TCCTTTGACATAGTGCTAATCTATACTACCTTATAATATAACTAAATAAAATAACATAAGCATTGAGCAGGAAGTTGGACTTGATGGCCTTGTAGGCCCCTTCCAACTTCACTTTTCTATGGTTCCATAAAAATAACATTAACCAGAACTGCTGAATAGCTCAAGGGTTTAGGCATCTGGTTGGGAGTTCAATTCCCCCACTATGCCTCCTTGGCAGGGGCTGAAATTGATTATTCATGGGGTCCTTTCCAGCTCTGCAGATGATTCCTTAAGGCTTGCGAAGTCATGGATTTTGTCACTGAAGTTACTAAGGCAAGCCTTACATCACGTGGGCAACAGGAAAAATACCATCTGTTACAAACTAGATCCAAAACGGAGAACAAATGTACCACTTAAAAAGAGTCTGTTGTTGAAGTACTGTACTGTTTTGGGAGCCACTGTGAGCTAAGAAGCAGCAAATAAATACCTTTAGTAAATAATGAACCAATGAATGAAAAAAAAAATCTGTTATCACACATGCAGGCTTTCCCAATAAAATTGTTTCTACCACCAGCTTCAGAGTACCAAATTGAACAATGGACTAATCCCATTTATAACACAAACAGTAACCAGTTAAGGCCCCTTTCACACGCCACCCCTGGTACAAGCAACAACATGGATGTAAATAAGGATGGTGACTGATTGCACACACTCCCACTGGAAAGCAGCCGTTTGCTGCCACACAAAGAGGCACTACACAAACAAATTTCAGTTAAATCGCACACTTCCCTACATAGGGAAGTTAAATCGCACACTTCCCTACATAGAAGTGTTTTCTGCAAAGACATTTTTACAAAACATGACACTGCTACATCTTCAAGATTCCTCAAAGATTAAAGTCACGCAAAGTGTGTGGGAAACCAACAGTAACTATGGAGGCTCTGATCCACAGAAGGCTAGTTATAGTTTGGAGATGGGTAACCTTCGGGCCTTCTAATGATTCCTCCTGTAACTTCCAAAAGGCCTGTTTAGATTGGTCAGCAGTACAGAATTTTGGGAACTGTAGTCCCAACAGCTGGAGAGCCAAGGCTACTCCCAAGCCCTGCTTTAGCACCAGTTACAATTAATTTGTTCAGCTAAAAGCAGTGAAGGCTGTTCAGTGTTACAGCCTTCTGTCCACTGAAATGAGACCAACACATCAATTGTATGAACTAGTATCTTAGCATCTTTCTCTCTCTTTTTTTTTTAACTGAGCCCATAGTCTCCATTATGGAAGTCAGTGAATGTGTAGAAACCATGATCTAGTCAAATTTTCAGACTTTTTCCTTATTCGCCATCCCCTAAATTTTGTACCATTTAGCCTGAAGAATACACAAGTCTCATTTTTGTTTTAGAAGAGATAACTGTGTTGGTTTGTGCTAGAGTATCAGGCAAAAACAAAAGAAAAGCAAAAATAAAGAATACAAAAATGTGGCACCTTAAAGACTAACTGCCGTATTTTAATGTCAGCTTTCGTGGACAAGTCCACTTCCTTTTAGTGCATTTTTGTTCTCTCCCATGGATCACACAGCTACTGTTTATTTATTATTGTGTTCAGTAGAGCTGAAGTGCAACAATCTCTGAGATTCTCTGCTCACAAACCTCGGATTTTCTGCTCTTTGGAAAAAGTGCCACCAATCACAAGCCCTCTTTGTGGTAACAATATTTCAGTGTGCCTATTTCTATGTCAGTCTGTAGTGATGCATAAACCAAAGTGTTGGTTATGAGATTAGGGATTTAAAAAGTGAATAGTTTTCTCACCAAGGGTGAAGTTGACAAGTGATGTCCCACTTCCTGCATCCATAAACAGGCAAGAATAAGTGTCTTCAAATGAATGAGGCTTAAAACAAATTTTAAAAAGACGAGCCTGAAAACATATTAGTTTTAAGCAGAAATCTTTCAATGTATTTTTTTAACCTTAAAAATATTTTTTTAAAAAATATACAGAAATTCTGAATACCGACATAGCTTACATGGCTGAATTAGATATAGACAACATTAGAGCATGTTCACAATTTTAAATCAAACCAATTCAACTCCAGCATTCCTCAATAACCCTACCACCCAACATTCAAGCGATGTTTTTGTTCTTTTCAGGACTGATCATTCAGAATAGCACTTCTTTATTTTTACAAAATATTGGACTAATAGTTTTCATTATACAATGTACAAAAAAATAAATAAAACAAAAACAAAAACCCAACCCTGGAAATCCCTTTAAGGACACACATTTTGTTGGGGTGGGGATACTTTGCCTTTAACCTCCCACATGTCATACTCCTCTGAGATCTCTCTCATGCTCTTTGTTTGCAAATTTCAGGGTGTCCCCCACCACCACCTCTTCCCTGGTTCACTGCTACTTCAGCTTCTGGATGCAATTGAACAGAAGGGAGAAGCTTGCAATCTTGCTTCATTCAGAGCAGGAAAAAACACAGTCAACAGGACACTGAGCATCAATTAAGACAGCATGCTGTTCTGCTGCTCCCATGGAGCAACATGCTGTTTTCAGTGCTCACAGCCCTAAAGGCTGCAATCCTATATACCCCTCCCTTAAAGTAAGCCCCACTGAAGCCAAAGGGCTTGGTTCTGACTTGACATACACAGGCTTGCTCTGTATGTTTCCAACCTCCCATCTGCCACTGTGTTGTGGCTTTAGGGCTCCCTCTTTAGTAGAAACCAATCTGCTGCATGCCCACATAGCAGAAAGTGCAAGCATACCACAGCTACCTAACCCAGAATATTCACAGTAGGCAAGACACATCCCAACGTACACATTCCATGTAGGCAACCGTATCAGTCAATTCCAACAAAAACAAGGGAGTCTTGTGGTACCTTAAAGACTAACCGATCAATAGTGCTGTGAACATAGGCTTCACTTGCACCTCAGAGGCCACAGCATTCAAGAACAAAACTGATCTGTCTGCAGAAAGTAGCCATGAAGAGAGCTTTACAAGAGTCCACCACTTCTTTCTGATGGAAATGGTCAGACTGTCCTCAAACAGATCTATCGTGTAACAACCTTTTCCCAGGAGAGAAAAATATTTTTAAAATAATATAGTTAAAAACAACAACACTGTGTAAGTAGTGGGTGTCAACCTTCTAAACCGCATTTTGCTCTCTGTGGCAGATTCTTCAGCAAAACCATGAAGAGCATCAGCTCATGCACCAACGTATTTCGAATTTCTCATGAGAAGCATAAGCCTGTGTATGCTTCTCACAGAGGTTTAAGAGACCAGCCAAGGTTAGGTGCTAAGCAAACTACCATTACGCATTGTCTTAAAGGTACCACAAATCTCTCTCCCCCACTTTCTTTTTTGTTATTATCACATATAAGGATGCCTATGTTGACAAAGCCTTTGCCAAGCTGGTATCTTCCAGAGAGGCTGGACTATAACCACCATCATGCCCACCCAGAAGCATATTGGCTGTGAATGTTGGGGGATTGTAGGCCAACACACCTGGAAGACACCAGGTTGGTGAAGGCTTGAAGTAATGGCTTTGTCATCTATCTAAAGCTGGTACTTCTTCAGGGCTGCTCAGTCGTACCATTTTTTGCTTCACATTTGGTGTAATGGTGGTCTGGAAAAAGGGAATTCACTTGTCTCTGGAAATTCCAAGCATTCAGGGAGAATTAAAAGGTCTGAGGGGGCAGTCCGGGATTTCCAGACAAGAAAAACAGGCCCAAAACAAAGAGGCCTCCATTCTTTTCTCATCATTATTCACCACTGAAGGAAAAGAAGGTAATGTTTTGCAGTGAGAAGGGAGAGACATTACAATGATGCCCTCAGGATGGCAAACCTAAAAGCAGTGAAATCAGTAGTGTTTGCTCCGAAGACTTAAGATTAAATGGTCAGAGCAATTCGGATATACAGCTGAAAAAGCAAGGAAGTCTCGTTGGGTGAGAGACAGATGCAGTGTAGTTATCTTGAGGAAAAGGTCAAGAACAAATATTGCAAAGCTTAACTCTCTAACGAAGCCCTCATAAAGCTGGAGCGTCAGACCTCAGAAATAAATTCCTCTCTGACATGTTTCCAGCACAAGATGGAACCCAGAGCCTCTCTTACAACTTGCTTACAGTTTAGGAATTGACCTTTAACAAAAGATGTGCCATGCAAAAAGTCAGAAGGTTTATAGAGTCAGACCCGCACTGCTCCCCCAGGCATCAGGGAGAGAGGCAGCCCCTTTTGTCCCCCGATTAGTTGTGGCTTTCCAAGCAACCTCATTCAAATAGCCCTTGAAACATCATTCGACATCTGCTCTGCTTGTGTGTAGGTACAGAATATAGATTATACAGTATAGCGCCTTTCTATGAATGGACTAAGTGCATCTGTATACAAAGGATTTATACACAAGGATACAAAGGAAATGCATCGGGGTACATTTCAGATAGGCTGACATACCTGAGCTCCATATTCCACGTGGCTCCCCCCAACTATTTACCGGTTAATCAAGGGCACTGGCTACGACCAAAACCAGCGCTACAGTTTCCCCTGCTCGCGTCCCAGAGAGAGAGAAGGGGGAAGCCCAGGGGCCAAGCCAAAGAATACAAAGGTCTCTCTTGAGTTCCCGGCGCTCCCCGAGTCCGTTCCGCCGGGCCGAGGGAAAGGGCGCCCACCGGAGTCTCGCCTCGTCCGCCGCGATCCGTGGCTCCGGAGCGGCCCGGGGGTGGGTCGGTGGTGGGGGGGACGGTCCAAGCCAGCGGGCCAAAGCGAGTCCCTAGGGCGACGCCGCGCTGTCCGGCTTCCTCG